ATGGGTGTTTTGAATCACGCTTCGGATCAGTGTTTCGAAACATCTGCGCTTCGGGATCTCGCAAAGCTTCGGAACGACTGTTTCGTGTCAGCCATCCCTAAAACAAGGTACACCTGCGACTGATCTGGGCAATCAGATCAGGACAGTAACACACAGAGGGTGTTTCTCAAAACCAAGAATGCAAAGAACGGACTTGTGTTCTTGGGGAGAAAGCTCTTGCTAGTTGTTCTTGGAAGAATGAACTCACAAGGTGACGAGCACACAGAACGCTGCTGACAGTTTGAGACGATGTGTTCTTGCTGGTATTGCGCAATAATTCCCCCGCACAGACACCGTCTGCAGTACCCTAACATAACGAGAATTATTGACGATAACAGCCAGGCTGCAATGGTTTCTTGACTGTGGGGTAAAACGAGTCTGTGAGCAGACTGGCCGGTTGGTTCGCTAGCTAACTTAACACCCGCAGGCGCTTATGGAGATTCTCACTTCCGAAAACGTTTGAGCACATTTTCGATTCGCCATAAATTTTCGTAAAAATGCCAATATTTGAAATCTACACAGTTGATTTCTCGCATCAAATGTTCTCAGAAGTGAATTTAGTGATGAAATAGCGTACGTAATTGTAGAAAAACGATTTACTGTATTGACCTGCCTCTCCTTCCTCGAATGCCGAATTGAATGCTGGGATATTTCTGCCGTCAAGTTCACACAAGTTACCAACCGATGCATCCTCGGTAAAATGGGCGTGTCAAGAACACATCCGGGATTTTTAACCGTTCTTGCCAAAATGCAAACTTGTGTATTGGGACAGTACTTGGGCCACGAAAGATGACGTTTCACAAGAACACAAGTACAGACAAGAACACAGATTGAGAAAGGCCCAGAATGAACAAGCAAACTCGTGAACCGTGACACTAACACATGTTCTCTCCCTGGATGTATATAGTGACCCCTTTTTTATGTGCTCTTATTTATTTATTTTTTGTTGTAAAAGAGAAAAAAAGTTATACTTTGAAACAATTGAACAAACCTGGAGTACAATTTATATTTAAAACACATTAGGTAATTGTACATACCTGTATTTGTAAAGACACTTTGTGATTGCATTGAGCACTAAATGTAACCTGAAATATACTATATGATTGCACTCCTAAGTTTAATTTATTATTAAAGGGACAATGCATATTAACATGACAAGTCAAAATGTGCCAGAGTTAGCCAAAAGGCTAGTTTTCATCTGCAGTCCTAGGCCAGATGTACAATAGGCAACCTAAAAATACAATGTTAATACAACAATTTAATCAAACCATGACAAAATACAACAAACCCTATAATTTCAAAAACCACAGAAAATCTTAAAAAAGAAATCAATGTTGTACTCAAATGAATGATCAAAATAAACACACAAAAAAAGAAAAACAAAAAAGGATTCAGTTCAGTTCATCTTTATTCATTTCCCGAAGGCAATTTGGTTGAAGCAAAACAGGCATACACATAAAAACACTGTCATACACATTCACAAATAAATACATTTACATAGAGTTTAAAAACTTTACAACTGATGGAATAAATTAATTTTTAAAACGATTTGTTTTACTAAGCGGCATTCTATACCTACTACCAGACGGAAGAAGATTGAACTCATGATACAGGGGGTGAGAAACTTCTGACAGAATGTTCTGTGCTTTACCCAAAGCCGGTCTCTGATATAACTGAGCCATGGTCATCTGCTTCATCCCCATTATTTTATTTCCTTGATTTACTATCCTCTCAATTCGATTTTTATTTTTCACACTCAGAGAATTGAACCAGCACAACAATGAATAGGATACACGACTCAATATAGGATCTATAAAACATACACATCAATGTTTTATCCACATTAAATGACCTTAATTTTCGCAAACAATGCAACCTTTGCTGTCCCTTCTTACACAAGGCATCAGTATTTGCGGAAAAAGTCAGTTTACTATCTAAGTACTTGTACTGTTCAACACTCTGGATACCCTCTCCATTTATACTTATTTGCTTATCATCAATCAGTTTCCCTCTCAATCTAAAATCAATACTCATCTCTTTAGTCTTCGAGACATTGAGTTTTAAAAAAGCATTCTGACACCAAGCAGCAAAGTCATCAACCACAGGACCATGCATAGAATCCTCCTCACTCAATAAGCTAACAATTACAGAGTCATCAGCAAATTTTAAGATGTGCCTATTACTAAAACCACTCTTACAGTCATTAGTGTACAGAATAAATAATAAGGGAGAGAGGACGCATCCTTGAGGTGACCCAGTGGATGACACCAACCATTCAGAATAACAGTCGTTTACTTTGACTCTCTGTCTTCTCTGTACAAGGAAATCTAAAATCCAGCCTACCAAATAATAATCCAACTCAAATTCCTTAATGAGTTTATCAATTAAAATATGTGGCTGAATATTGTTAAAAGCAGATGAAAAATCAATAAAAAGTAATTTAACAAAAGTTTTCGGCTTCTCTAAAAGTTGAAATACTAAATGTAAAAGAGTTGCAACAGCATCTTCTACACCTCGTTTATTTCTGTACGCAAATTGAAGAGGGTCTACACTGTAAAAAATGATCGTGATTTTTAACGGTAAAAATGCTACAGTGAAAAACTGTTACTTGGTTAACAGAAAGTTTCCTTACTATATACGGTAAATAACTGTGATATATATAATGGTACATTTAATGTAATTTTACTGTAAAATACCGTTAAATTTACAGTTTTTGGAAGTGAAAAAGAACAAGTCATTGTATAATTTACAGTGAAAAAATGTAAATTGACATTCCCACAATTCCCTGCGTGACACTTCACATTTGATGTATTTTGTTTTTAAATAACTGTTTCTTCAAAATTTTCTTAGCTTATTGCATTTTTTAAATTTCAACATGTTACCATGATGGTGTTTAATGTTTGTGTGAATGACACTGTGCAGCTTCTATATATATTAGTATTAACTTTCTTGTGGAAGAGCTGCTTATGATGAGCTTTGATTGGCCATTTGACTCTCATCACTGCTGTGATTGTTGGCTGTCAGTGTATTACAATGGAAAAAAAAACAGATATTAATACTTCAAAAGGTCAGTAAATTAACATTATATCAGATAATGAAATACGGTTTATTGCTGTAAAATTATATACGGTTAAAAGTCTGTAAAACCTAAAACGTTGCTACCGTATTTTTAACAGGAAAACTCTGGTAACCACAGCTGCCAGGGTTTTCCTGTAAATTTAACGGGTTTTTCTTTACAGTGTAGAAAACTCTCAGTCTTTTTCATTATTTTTCCCTTAACTCATTTTTCTAGGCATTTCATCACTAAGGATGTAAGCGCCACAGGTCTAAAATCATCTACTAACTGTGCATTCTGCTTTTTTTGCAATGGAATGACAGTAGACTGCTTCCACCGTGCAGGTACTTTTTGTATTTGTAGGGACCAGACAAAAATGTTATAAAATATAGGTCCTAGCTGCTCAGCACATTTCTTAAGTAAACATCCTCCTATATTATCAGACCCCATGGCCTTCCTAATTTTACATTGTTTAAAAACTGTTATCACATCCCCTACGTCAAAATGGACACAACCAAACTCTCTATTTATCCAACACTTATTTTTTAAATCCTCAATTTCTGATTTAAAATCATACGTATCAAATCTTCCTGTGATAAAGCTGCATCTGAACTGAATCCGTTTAAACTAATTGTATTATTTATTTGTGATTTAATGTATCCCCTCCCAGACAGAACCTAAATTCCCCTCTTTCAATTTGAACTCAAGATCTTCCTTATATACTGTTTTAGCCCTCTTTATTTCACACTTAATTTCTCTTTTTAGCATATAATGCACAACGATATTTCCCTCTTTAAAGACCCACTCCGATGAAAATAATGTTTTTCTAGGTGTTAACATGTTCTTGTGGCATTTTTCTTATGTTAGAGGACATATCTTTAGAAAAATAGGCTCAAAGTTGTATTTCTGAGTATTTCTACATTCAAATGGCTGTGAATCAGTAGCAGACGCAAAAATGCCGTTTGAAATAGACTGGAGTTGTGACGTAGTAACTCCACTGGGCGGGGCCACAAGCTCATACTGTGCTCTATAAGTAAACTTAAATTTAAACTTGATTCTGCAGCACTATGATTTATTCTTTGTGTGATAGCTATGAAAACTTCAAAAAGGTTAATCTGACTAAATGTTTGGAGCATGTCCACAAACATATTTATTTACTAACATGTTATTAGGAGTTATTGGCCTGAAATAGTCAATTCAAGAGATTACAAAAACAATAACGTTACCATTCTGATACATCCACTTGTAGACGACTAGATCTATGTACGTCCTCTTGTTCCTCGTCCGAGCTGGCATCTGGCTCAAAACTGTACGGCTGGATAGCTCCAATATTGTTCTCCATTTTTGTTGCACCGGTATTGACAGGTTGGGGATGTAAGCTAGCGGGAGAGTCGAGACAGAGCTCTCAGCAACGGGGAGGGGGAGGGTCGTCCCCGTGCCTCCGTGCCAACGGCTCCGCCCACAACGCAGAGGCGAATTTCTAATGAGCTACTGCCGCTCTGCTGAAGCGAAGTCCCAGAAAACGCACAGGTTTCGTGATTTTGGCTAAAAATGGCATAATCATGATTTAAAGACCACTGGGAATGTTTAAAAATAGCTAAAAAATATGATCGGAGTGGGACTTTAAAAGCCCTATTTCTTTTTGACAGAAGAATCTTAATTGATTTTGTAACCCATGGTTTACTGTTTGGGAATTTCTTAAAATGATTTCACAGGTATTAACATGTCCTCACAAAACGTCACGTAACTACAAATTTCATCTGTTACTTGATCAATGTCCGAGCCAGAGTCCATGATGAAATAAAGATGAGATGATGAATGAAATAAAGATGAGAGTTAGTCTAAAGATCAGTATGAAGAACATAGTAAATTAAATATGTCTGTATGTTATCCTGTTGTTTCTGCACAGCTCAGCATCTCACACACACACACACACACACACACACACACACACACACACACACACACACACACACACACACACACACACACACACACAGCTAGATCTCCTTCATACGGGGTTTAGAGACTTCAGGATAAATCAGATTTATATTGATTTTGAATGTTGATAATGTCACAGTCCGGAGTCAGGGAACGTCTACACACTCCTCAAAGGCACCTCCTCTGGGTTACTTTCTGAAAGAAAACATACGAGACAGATCATATTAAAGGAAAGCTTTGCTTTTATATATAAAGTAAGCAGAGTGGATCTTGATTTATTATTAATGATGATAATGTTACACTGGATACATACTTCTCACACTTTCCTCCTCTGGGTTACTGATTTGACTGGATTCTGGAAGAAAACACACGAGACAGATCATATTAAAGGAAAGCTTTGCTTTTATATATAAAGTAGGCCTAAGGAGAGTTGATTTTGATTTATTATTAATTATGATAATGTTACACTAGATACATACTTCTCACACTTTTCTTCATAGAGTTATTTCTGTTTTCAGTGGGATCTGAAAGAAAACACATGAGATAGATCATATTAAAGGAAAGCTTTGCGCATATATATATATATATATATATATATATATATATATAAGAAAGATAGATAGATAGATAGATAGATAGATAGATAGATAGATAGATAGATAGATAGATAGATAGATAGATAGATAGATAGATAGATAGATTGTTTACTGACATATTTGATTTACTCACCGACTTTGACCCTGAATAATTTAGTTTTGAGATCTTCTTCAATTATGTATAGCATATAAATTCCAGCATCTGTGGGTTTGATCTCCTTGATGGTCAGTGATCCGGTCTTATCATCCATCTCCAGTCTATCTTGGAAAATTACAGCAGTAAATGGTGAGATTTTCTTGGCTCCTCTTCTGATTTCAGCTAACCGAGTGTATAGTCCAAACTTCCACAGAGTCTGTTCAACTTTCTGTACGTCAACATCAGTCTTCAGAGTGACAGATTCTCCCTCCTCCACTGACTTGGTCTCTATTTCATCTGGCTTAACTACACATACAGAGAAACACAGAACAGAAATCAGAAAAAGAAAACCAAGTAGTAAAAGCAACATGAATAAATTCCTCCATATGTACTCATTTTATAAATAAAATTAAGGTAATTTCTCATTATAAATTATGGTTTAAATCTATAAACAAGTCAAATGGCCCCAATTCTCATTTTTGTTGTGATGTGTGTGTTGAACCAATCATATTCTCTGATTCATGTGTGATCATCAGAATCAAGTTTATTGATCAATTTTAGTAGCCTGGTAATACCAAACTCTGCTACTTCGCTTTGCTTCATAGACAGAGTCTGGCATGGCATAATTGCATAGTGTTTTCTTTCTCACGGGCGCTTGTCTGAAGTATAAAATCATTGGTTACCCGTAAGCCAATCACATAGCGTTTGGTTATGACGTGTGTTATTCGCCAGCTCAGCCGCATCGAACTTCCGCTGTTAACACATATGATGCGAAAACGAAACCATCGAGCGAACTACCGGAGTGAACAAGGCTGTGAACAACTTTAGTAGATTATGTGAAGTAAATCTACGCATCCACAGTACAATCAAGGGCCTCTAAACTAATATTTGACTGTAGGAGAAACAAGAAAATATCAAAGTCAAACTGTCAAAGTTAGTTCTGTTAAACCAACGCAGCTTTTTGTTCATCTAGAGTCTGTCGGAAATGCTGCAACTTAATTGCAAGATTACAGCATGACATGGGAATATTTAAGAATTGGAAAAGAAAGGAGACACTGACCTGTCAAAAGGGTGCCAGTTCGAGCTCGACAGATAAAAGAGACCGAGATGAAAAAAAAAAAAATACCTGTCGGGAGTAGGGCAACAACATCACCTCCATTCAAAATGTTTCACACACACTCTTCTTGTTCGGGCTTCAGTTTGCAAATGCCAGGAATATTCCCCACAACAGAGCGAATTGCATCCCGTATCTCCATGGGGTCTCCTCGCTCCTCCGTCCTCCATCCTATGACCCGGAAACCGATCGAGCTCAGCCATCTTGAAGGACATCTCAATTCTCTAATTGCACCGCGAGGAGTCGAGGATCGAGGAGGCTTCCAGAGGAGCTATGAGCGAGGATACACAGGTGTACCCTTTGCGGAAGTGTTTTATTGACTAAACGTGACGCACGTATAAATTCTCCTCCCCCTTCACATCGGTCACAGTCATTTTAATTTATACTTTACCTTTGCAGTTTATATAAACCACACGTCTCACATATTTCAACAGGGTCTTGCTTTATTATTATTTATTATGAATTATTTAAATAACCAAACTTCAACAAAATAAGTGCAGATCCTTTGAGCACTGCTGATGATGACGCTCGAGTGATCAAGTATTCCAATGTATAAAAAAAAGGCTTGTTTGAGATGAGCAAAATCTGCGCAGAACCGATCACCGGTGATCAGCGCGAGATGTATGCCGGTTAGAAATGTGTCCGAGTGCGGTCCGCGTTGCTCTGATGTCATGCCGACGTATGTCAAAAAACTCTCGCGACCAAGGCGCACGTGTCGGATTCTGCAGTCGCGCGCAGTTGCTCTCCACCAACTGCGCTGATCAAAAGCACGATGGGAAACGACTTGCTGACGACACAGCTTAATGCTCATTGGTTTAAACAACCGTGATGTATTGTTCTCTTTTAAAATGTTTGATTTTAAAGCTCTGATATCATGTTTTATGTGTATAAATTATGTGTGGATATTCCCAAACTCTCTGACAGTGTGATCTATGTGATGTAATTTTTTTTTTTTTATATATAAAAACACATGTCTGTATTAAAGAAAAAAATGATTGATAAACACGTAGGTCTATTTAAAATGGAATTAAATAAGTACTTTGGGTGTCTTGTTCATTATATTTATTTTCATATAAAAGCAACAAAACTGCAATTACATCCAGTTTATTAGCAACACCGTGCACGGGTGTGAATCCCGCGATATCCGCCTCTGATCTCACAGGTGTCAGATCCACTGCGAGAAGAGAGATCTGTCCGGCTTGCCTGCACTTTTTTCAATCCTCCCCTCACTGCAGCCGCCTACTCTCGACTACATTTCAGGCGAGACAAGGCGCATCTCAAACAAGCCTAATGACTTTCCTTCGATTCCACCGGAGATGGTCCTCACTGCAGAACATGAAATCCACGGGGAGGAGTCGGATCCAGATCCAACTCCTCCCACCTTACATATACCTAAACCTACCCAGCTCCACCCCTTATCCCTAAACCCACCCCTAAACCTACCCAGCTCCACCCCCTGATCCCTAAACCCACCCCTAAACCTACCCAACCCCACCCCTTAATCTGGATCCGACTCCGCCCCTTGGATCTCGTGTACTGCAATGAGGTGCTACTGTTCCACCGTCCTCCTTTTCTTTCCTTGCTGCCTTCCCTCGTATCCTGCAGGGGGTGGAGCTGAGACGCGAGGAAAGGAAACGAGAATGCACAAATAAGAATTGAGAAGCACCCCATATCCGCGATCGTTTTTGATTTCCCTAACCTAAAATAAAATCCTAAACTCGGCGCTTAGCGTCTACGTCACGGCTCTCAGCCCGCCCTCTGTTCGTTGATTGGCTGGCTGTTTTCAGGAAAACTGAGAGACATGTCGATGTCTAAAGCCTGGTTCACACGGCAGGATAATTAGGCCAATTTTAGCCCCGATTCACCCCTTCCGACAATCTTAAGGATGCTCCGATTATCGTAAAATAATCTGATCAGATATTCCTGCCATGTGTGGTGTGTTAAGACTGCTCTCGTCTGCTCGGAAGGACGTCGGGACCGCTCCGATCTCAAATCGGGGATATCCAACATGTTGGATTTTTTTGGCCCGATTTCTCCTCGTGTGTGGTGTCCCCCGGGGACAACCGAGCACGCAGCCTGTGGACTGTGGCGTGTAGCCAATCAGAAAGCGAGGTGACGAGGCGCAGAGGAAGCACCAGGAAATAAAATCAAAACAGCCGGCGGCTGTCCATGCTCGCGTTGTCTCCACTTCTTTGACCATCGCCTTTTCTTTTGATAACGTTTTTTTTTTTTTTTCGGTTAAAAACAAACTACAAACTATCGCCACTGCATCCTCTTCGTCCGCCATGATTGTTTACTCTGAAGTCACATTTGATCTCGAGGGATTTTGCGAGATTTTCCGTTTGACCTGGGAATGCTCGGGAGTCAAATCGGTTCGTGTGTGATGTGTTGATTTTGCCGTGTGGCTGCGCACCACACACTGTACGACCAAAACTGTTAAACCAGTGATTTTTTATCGCCGTGTGTGGGGTCTCTCAGGTTTGGAAAATCGGCCGACAATTTTAAAATCGTCCCGTGTGAACCAGGCTTCAGACTGAGTACAGAAGCGAACTGAAATAGAGCGGAAGTACGAAGTCTGACGTAGTCAGACTACAATTTTAGTGCAAAATAATTAAAACATTAATCAATACTTATTTGATTTTAAAGTGATTTGAAATTAAACTGTGCCTTTATATACAGCATAATAGATCACATTATGCTTCAATACTTGTGTTGAAGACTGTGCATATAATAAGATATAACCGAATCAAACCTATAGTTCTTCATTTAATCAATTCAATCAAGCTAATGATTATAGAGTTACTCACCAAAGACAGAAATATTGAATCTCTTTATTGAGCTCTTTCCCGGTCTGATGATCAGTAGTTCATAAACTCCAGTGTCTATGGTTTTGGTGTTTGGGATGGTCAGAGATCCAGTCTGAGGATTCAGCTTCAGTCTGTCTTTAAATCTCCCATCAGGAAGATCATCATGTCTGTCTCTGAATCTCCCATCAGGACGATCATCATGTCTGTCTCTGAATCTCCCATCAGGACGATCATCATGTCTGTCTCTGAATCTCCCATCAGGACCATCATCATGTCTGTCTCTGAATCTCCCATCAGGACGATCACCATATACAGTAAAACTATCAGCAGCTCTTTCCCTTTCAGCAATACAACAGCTTCTAAATATCCACTGTAATTTGTCGTCTTTATGTACTTTAGTATCTTCATGTAATTTAGTATCTTCAGGGTTTAGAGTGATAGATTCTCCTTCAATCACTGACAGTATCCTCCCTTTATCAATCCCTTCACATCAGCAAACAGAAACAGAGAGAAACAGAACAGACATTAGCTGGAGAAGAAAAGCAATAAAAGCAGAAAGGAATAAAATCAACAATCATTCGCTCCACATCTGACACTTGCTCAATGATTGATCATTAAAACCCCTAAACACTGAAGCACATTCACACTCACAGCAAAATACATCATAAACTACATATCATTATCTGAAATACTTCAACATTATTCATAATCTGTGTTTTTTACCTGTGTGTTTTGTGTTGTATTCATCCTTAATGAAGTGCTTATTTTTTAAATAAAAGTATCTGCTAAATGTGTTTAGAGGAGGCTTTATTTTTATTTTTTTCCTCTGATTTTAATCACAGGTTTTGTTTGATATGGTTGTTTATTATCTTAGCATCTGTGAAAACCTGAAGCTATTGCTCTGTATTTCCAATTATTTAAAGGGGTGATAAAACACGATTTCACTTTTCTAACTTTAGCTAGTGTGTAATGTTGCTGTTTAAACATAAACAACATCTGCGAAGTTACAACGCTCAAAGTTTAAAGCAAAGGGAGATATTTGCTTTTAAAGAAATCCGTTTTTACAAGGAGGGACAGAGCAGTGTAGAATAAAGGTAAAATATATGAAAAATAATGACATTTTTTAAAAACGAAGCATGAACACATGTTACAGTGCACCCCACAAACACAATCAAGCCTTCGAAAAAATGTGTTTTACCACCCCTTTAAATAAATCTATATCTTTTCTATTAAGAGTTTCCATCTCTTTGGTATGAAAAGCATCATAGATTACTCTGAGCTGGTTTAAGCTGACCTTTGACCCTGATCAGATCATTATGATTGAGACACACGTCTACTCAGCGATCTGAAGCGGGGCATTGCACAGACGTCTGTTGTTAAAGCTAGTTATAAATACTGTATTTTAACCCAAACCCAGACACCAACCCTGACAGACAACTTCATGCATTTTAAAAAGTGTGGACTAGCTATACATTTCATTGCCACACAACAATAAAATAGAAGTTTAAAGTTGTATAAAAATGAATTCAGAGCCCTTCATACTAAAACAAAACCACAGGTCAGTGTTGAAAAGGCTCAGTAAGTTAATTCTTATTGGTGGGTTGTGAATTATTGACAGTCGTAAGTTAGTCCCGCCCCCAGAGTTTGACGCAACTGGTTATGTTTCGCTTGAAAGCTGTGGAGGGTTCGCGTGTATTCAAACCAGATGAGTGTGCGTAACTTTGAAAGTAAGTTTAATTTCCACATATACCGTCTTTAATCTTGTTTATATTGCTATTTGTTGTAGTATGTGTTGAAACGTTCTGATGTCGAGTGTAATTCGTATCTCCGTGAAGCTAATGTTAGCGGTATGACTGTGTGCATTATCTCTGCACGGGTAATCCGATGTGCGCTGTGTTTAAGTGAAATAACGATAACAACTCATATGTTCCATATGTTTACTTCAGTATTTACACTTTACAGATGTCATTAAGCCATATTTATGTGGATTGTGAAGATTACGCTCGATTGAGATATGGTTATAAGACGATAGTCACGTGTATATAATAGCCAATTGTTTACATTTATAGCCATGTATCCTCACGTGTTTATTCTTTTAAGTTAAATGTCTATCATTTATTACTGTAAACTAATTACTTACATTTCTGTTTCTTATTATAGAAACCACACTTACACACCCTTAATATCACATACATCCGCTCATGCACTGCATTGAGTATGTTGATGGCTTGAACCTACCATTAAAAACAGTGATTGGACTTTTGGACTTTTGTGCATTCTTACCGATGCCCTGTGATGATCCCAATTAAGTCAGATCCAGTCAATACAGTCCAGAAAACTATTTAATAGGTCAGTGCTCTTTAATATCTGTGTATTGATTATGTTTCTTTTTTACCCTGCTTTTATGAACAAAACTACAACACACAACACACACATACAAATGTAAAATGTTTGAAACATGATTATTTATGAACAAACATTTTACACTTTTAATACTGTAGCATAATAAAGCTCAGTATTTCTCTTGCTTTATCAGCTGTAATACTCACGTGCTTGATCTTTTAGTTTAGAGTTCTTGTGGCGCTGGTAAATCACAACAGCAGCACCTACACACCCAGCCACCAGCAGATTACTAACAACACCAACAACACCGATCGCTGCTTTAGCACCAGTAGACAGACCTGGATCTGTGATGATAAAGAGAGTCATCAGTGTGAGTGAATCTGTCAGTCTGATCTATTTAAAGGTATAGCGGAGGATTTTCTTTTTCCGGGTGGGTAGTCTATACTATTGGTCCACCTAAGTGTCAATCATTCTGGTGATATGTTTACGTAATGCCGTCGTACGTGCTTGTCCCTATGTAATTTATGCTTTCTGCGAATGCGCACTTTCAGGTGTATAATGTGCAGGTGTTACGGGTAGTGTATGGCTGGAAGCACGAGGATACCAGGAAAACAGGATTTAATGAACAAAACTCTACATAGACACACCATATACAAACGAGAACCGACAAGGAGTGAAGGAGAACACAGGGTTTACATACACAGAGAACAGATAGGGGAACAAGACACAGCTGGGGCAAATGAACTAGACACAGGTGAATAAACTAAACACTAACGAGGAGCGGGAAACTGAAAACAGGACTGAACCAAATACACAAAGAACGGGGGAAACACAGGACATACATGTAACAGCAGGGACGTGCACAGGAATTTTGAGGGGCAGTTGCTCTGACCTGAAAAAAGGGCAGGGTTTTATTAAAATCACTAATCACCTTAACTACTACTAATAATAACACAGAAAAACATGACTTGAGTCATGAAAATCCCTATATTCAGTAGAATTTTGCCCGTACAAATTGCCTTATCTGACCGTGTTTATGTCCAAACTCAATGCCTCATATTATGGTCTTATTATTATTTATAAAGATTGCAAAACGTCAGAGATGACAGGTTTATGATATACAACTTTGTAAACAGAATACAAAATGTATATGTTAAATGTCCCCAAAATAGGCTACATGAGAAAAAGAGTTCCTCATATTATTGTTTATTTTTTTATTTTTTTATTATTATTATTATTATTATTTTTTTTTTTTAAATGGGAAAATAAATAATCTTTATTGAATTGACAGATGGGGAAAAACTCGCTTCTAATAAAAAAAAAAAAAAAAAAAAAACGCTTAGATTTCGGGAAAAAATGCAATCCTTTTTTAACCTTTTGGCTTCCCGTACATTCAGTTCTGATGGTACGTATGGTAACTGGGCAACTACGCATGATTTGTAGCTACACCGGTCGCGTGCAGCGCTGCAGCCACGTAAACAGAGTTTGCGCTTCCCATACTGACTTTCACTTTCGGTGCCCGAATGGAAGTGTATGAGGCTTTGCGATTTTTTTATTTTTTATCTAGGCCTACGTGAAATTCTGCATCCATTGTACGATTTATTTATTCCCCCTTGGAAGGGCAACGTGAGTCGAGAAGGGCATATGGGCAGTTGCCCGGGCAACCTGAGCAACCACTCTGTGCACGTCCCTGATAATGTGTGATGAGTTACGGTTTCAGCCATTCCTTTGAAAATGGCTGAGGGTCGAAAGAGAAAAAATGTATACGAAGTGTATGATAAGAAGAGAAAGGCCGCAGAATATAGAAACAAGACCAGAGCGATTTTGGGTGAATATTTCACACGCTGCCGTGCGCTAAAAGCACAGGTTGGGCTTCCCACTGATGCCGCAGTCGCGATCGATTCTACTAGACAGGTAAAGTTTGTCGTGCTATTTGGAGAAATCCATTTAAAATCACTGCTAGTAAAAGTTAATGTAAGCTATGATTAGCGATGCTAGCCCTGGCACAAGTCATGCACCGCGTAGACACGGTAAACATCTCAATTTGTCTAAAGTAGCCTGACCAAATAGTAAATGGTATCACGCTGAAATATTCTAAAACCTTGTGTGTTCATTTTCGATAATTCCAATGTGTTCACCATACAAGCTACTTCTCCATTGCATATCATGTCTCTCTCGTGCACACGTTTAATAGGCGTTCCCTCTCGGGAGCAAATAGAGTGTTGCGCATGTGCATTTTTAAAAAAAATTGGAGAGGGCGGGTCTTCTCTAAAATTCGGAAAGATCCTCCGCAATACCTTTAAATATGAATCTGATTCTGTTGAAGGTGAATCATAAATGAGCCTCTAATGCAATTTCAGATATCATGATTCTCCTTTTCACTGTTCATCTTCTGTATTACTGTTTTACAGCAGGTGTTTATTGTGACACAGGACTGATCTCAATGAAAATATTACAAACAGTAATTCAGATTAAACCATTTAAAAACCTTCAGAAACATGCCAACAGTGTTAAAGCATTTACTGCAGATGTCATGAGCTCTGACATTTTTTTTTTCCGTTAGGAGTCTGAGAAAATTATAAATACTTGTATTAATAAGAAGAGAAAACATAATAAATGCTTGCAATTTTGGTTTGATCATTAGAGTAATGAATTTGATCAATGTTATCAATCATTTAAATACAACTAAAATGTTAATTAAAAAAATTGTCCCAAGAATGAAATGTTGAGACATTGTTAGTTCAAATAATAATATCTTGTAGTCATTTGCCGCAAAATCTTACGAACGACTACTAAATTATAACAGTCTTAAACAATTCAAGATACAGAGTTTATTTTTAACAAATCAAATTCAGTTTAAATTAGTGCTATATTGTGTTCCCTTTCGTATGGGAATTCCTACGTCTCGTCGGAGGAGTTTCCAACGAATTGGGATCACGCTAGGGAGACCAATTGCCTTCGAGTGAATTAAAACGAGCCAATGAACATTGGCATGCAGGACTTGCATTCCACGCCAGTGCGGGTGTAAAGCGGAAGCGAGCGCATACATATTTGCTTTTAGCTTCAGAGCCGACCGGTTGTGTCCTCTGAGTGATGTGCTTCAAGATTAGAGAATTATCTTCACGCTTGTCGTAGAAATTTTAATAGAGAAAGATTAATTATGTTAACTAACCATAAAGTTCTTATTTTATATTTCTATCATGTGATAAAATCTATCATACTTTCACTTCTTTGTCTTAAGGTGACTAAACTTTCCCTTCTAGATCTAACAATAAAAAAAAGATAAATCTTAGTTGCTTTTATTTAGGATGTAGCCAAGAGATGAACTTTCAATATGAACTAACCATCTAACAAACTGTTGAATTAATGTAACCTTGGTAAAGGTAACTTTGAAAATGAACTGAACATTCTGTTCTTTTACTGTATTAGGACGTGATTGACTGAAATGTTAACCCCTTACAAACTGTTTTTGAGGATATAGGATATTTTTGCTGATGTCACTAACAAAGGATGATGAGGGGAGGGGGTTTGCTTTAAGCAATCTAACCAATCATATTGATAGAGTGTGACATGATCAGTCATAATGAAATAGTTAGTCATGATGATTCTATTTTTATGTGTCTGGCATTATCATATAAAACATGTGTACTTCGTCTTTGAAGTTGAGATTCTCTGAGGATTGCTCGAGAACTCCCAGCTGAAATAAAGAGCATTGGAAGGACATTCACTGAAGTCTGTCTGTCATTTAAGCTGCGCAGCAAGGACAAGTAAGTTAGAATTATTAGCACCCGGCCGACGTCGACAGGAGACGCGCTAGGGTTATAGGATTCGCACCCGGCCGACGTCGACAGGAGACGCGCTAGGGTTATAGGATTAGTACCCGGCCGACATCGACAGGAGACGCTCTAGGGTTATAGGATTCGCACCCGGCCGACGTCGACAGGAGACGCGCTAGGGTTATAGGATTAGCACCCGGCCGACGTCGACAGGAGACGCGCTAGGGTTATAGGATTAGTACCCGGCCGACGTCGACAGGAGACGCGCTAGGGTTATAGGATTAGCACCCGGCCGACGTCGACAGGAGACGCGCTAGGGTTATAGGATTAGCACCCGGCCGACGTCGACAGGAGACGCGCTAGGGTTATAGGATTAGCACCCGGCCGACGTCGACAGGAGACGCGCTAGGGTTATAGGATTAGTACCCGGCCGACGTCGACAGGAGACGCGCTAGGGTTATAGGATTAGCACCCGGCCGACGTCGACAGGAGACGCGCTAGGGTTATAGGATTAGCACCCGGCCGACGTCGACAGGAGACGCGCTAGGGTTATAGGATTAGTACCCGGCCGACGTCGACAGGAGACGCGCTAGGGTTATAGGATTAGTACCCGGCCGACGTCGACAGGAGACGCTCTAGGGTTATAGGATTAGCACCCGGCCGACGTCGACAGGAGACGCGCTAGGGTTATAGGATTAGTACCCGGCCGACATCGACAGGAGACGCGCTAGGGTTATAGGATTAGTACCCGGCCGACGTCGACAGGAGACGCTCTAGGGTTATAGGATTAGTACCCGGCCGACGTCGACAGGAGACGCGCTAGGGTTATAGGATTAGTACCCGGCCGACATCGACAGGAGACGCTCTAGGGTTATAGGATTAGCACCCGGCCGACGTCGACAGGAGACGCTCTAGGGTTATAGGATTAGCACCCGGCCGACGTCGATGTGTAGACGCGCTAGGGTATAAGTATAAGACTTGGCCGACTAGAGTGAGTATTATTGTAGGATAGTCAGGTATAGGGGAGAAAATCCACCACAAGCTCAACGAGTCTGCTGTTTCTCCGAAGACCTCTCTGTGTTGGTGTGATGGCGCTTCAGCGATCTTCGCAATCTCCCGGGTGCCAGCTGTTGCTTTTTTTTCAAAGAGCTGTTGTCAAGTCCTGCATGCCAATGTTCATTGGCTCGTTTTAATTCACTCGAAGGCAATTGGTCTCCCTAGCGTGATCCCAATTCGTTGGAAACTCCTCCGAGGAGACGTCTCCGTTCCCTACTCAGGGAACGAGGGTTACCATACGTAACCGAGACATTCATCTAACTTCAGGGTTTTTCTCAGAGCTCTTGACTCAATGGGATCATCATCATATTGGCAGAAACGATCTACTCACCAGAGAAAGTGACAGTGATTCTCCTGAGTATAGTGCGTCTGCTGTTGCTGATCTTCAGTTCATAGAGTCCAGAGTCTGTGTTTCTGGTGTTTGTGATGGTCAGAGATCCAGTCTGATGATCCAGCTTCAGTCTGTCATCAGGACCATGAGATGTGGAGAATCGATCGTCTGCTTTATAGAT